GGCGGGTGATAATTTTTAATGTATAATGAACCTTTGAAGGCTTCGCATTTTTTAATTTAGAAGGTTCGCAGGTTGAAAAGTGACCTTTGTCCCAGCCTTAATAGTAATTATACTTCACAATAATTATTGTTTGACACCAAGATTTGTTGATGATGTGGGAGGGCTGCAGCTACAGGTGGACAATGAGGGGTACATATCCCCATTTACTAGTGATACTTCCTTCGACAGCCCAACAAGCAGCAGGTCACCACCATCAATGCGCAGGCAACGACAACCAGTGGATTATAAAGAAGAGTCCTCCAGCGTAGTGAATACTACAAGTGACCATGAGGTAGAGGAGTCGAGTGGATCATCATCTGAGAAAGAGTACACATGCAAAGAGCAAGCACCAGATATATTAGATACCGCTCTTCTTCAAGTGAGTTCTTTTGTTGTGTTAATTTTTGATAGATTTATTGTCGTCATTAGGGAATACCAGACGTTTTGATGAGCTTGGGTGATTTGCCTATAGTAGTAGTAGAGGTATAATGATTAACAGTTATCAGTTGGTCTAGCTTCCTGTTATATTTTAGGGTAACCTTATGAAGGAGATACCGAGCAAGGATGCATCTGAAAGTGATGTTGGGCAATTATTATTCTACGTCATGGGTAGCATGATCAAGTTATCTTACAAAGAGGAACAGCACATACTAGGAATACTGATTCAAGGAAATAGGTATAATGTAATGGGTTTTACAATATTTTTAATTTTCATTGAATTTTAGTTCTTATTATGTTATGGAACGTGGGATAAGAGAAATGGAAATTCGATTGACATAAGGATTTCGAAGAATTTGCTTGACAGCAATAATTTAGCATTTTTTTGTGAAAAGTGCTATAATATATCTACACTGAATAATTAAGTGATCATTTGATGTTTCATTTTATCTAAATAATTGAATGAAAACCAGTGCCACTCTCCTTGTTGGCAGAATGCAGTACAAAGGAATGGAAGAAATGCAAAATACAGGGAATGATCAGTTCTTGCATCTACTATAGTTGCTACTTCTATAGACACCAATGAATCAATGAGGAGCCTTCTTTGCTGGAAATTCTCATAGCTTTCTGCCAATCAAGGAGTGTATCAAAGGAAATGGTGGTACACTTAGAATCTCAACAGCATTGTGAGAGACCCTAGGCAGCACAACGTGGAGGTAGTACTGCATTGCTGCCAAACCTTGAAAAAGAAATGAAACATTACAACTTTATTAAATAGATATTACCTTTAAAACTGATCTTTATCTTATAGCAAGATAATGTATCTATAAATTTTAAAAGTAATTGTACAGAAATTGAGTATAAAAGGCTAATCATATATTAACTGCTAAATATGGTTGAAGTCCACCAAATCATAGTGATTTCATGCATTTGTATGAAATAAATAAAAGTTAAAGTCAGATAAGTAGTAACAATTTTCATTGTGAAACAGTGATTAAAATTATGCCAGGAGTGTGTTTTTTTTAAGTCGACAGTACAGAAATATGAATTTTTAATTGAAATGCGGTTGCTGCAATAAAAATTTTATTTTCAGAAGCCCAAGTACCAAATATGTTTAATTTTTTACGTAATATATGTGCCCTCATTGCACTCACAGCATTTTCACTATGCATGTGTGGTAATACTAAGTGTGATAATTGTAAGGCATTTTTTGTCATAAATGTACAAATAGTTGATCTGATTAGCATATGAATTTTGTCAGTTCCAGTTACAGCTTTAGAAATTGCTAGGTAAAAACAATTGCCATCTACTTTTATTTTATGACTGATATAAGGAGATATTTTAGCATGTTTGATAGTTTAAGCGGATCAATATCTACAAAAACAGTTTCCCCAGTATAATCCTGTATCAATAAAGCAGCAGAATTCATCCAATCTGTCAAAGGTGTTTTGCCTATTGTTAGAGGCATTGCATCTTCAGATTTGACATACTCGACATCAGGAAGCTTACCTCTATTTCTAGGATTGAGTGGGCATGATAGCTGGTGTGAAGTTTTTTCAATACTACAACTACATTTAACACTTCTGATTATAAACTCTTCCAAATCACTATTTATACCATAGCTATCCAAGATGCTGCTATCTTACCATCAGAACTAGAAAAAAAGTTTTTATCATAATCATCGCTATCATCTAATATTACTCCCAGATCAATTACCTCATCATTTGTGATGCTTTCATGCACAATCTCTGTAGCTAATGAGCCACACTCACTGCCTAAATCTTGATCAAAATCAGTTACACTTAGTTTACATCTTTTTGTTTTACTAATCTCCCCATCTCCTTTTCCGTTTTTGATGAGATGATATAGGTGTTTCCTTATTATATGTGTGACATGTCTGATGTTGCTCGACCCATAATTTACATGCAGCTTGTTCAGATTGCCTATGCCTTTTCCTTGCTGTTCTCTTACGTTTCACATCACACTGTTTGACT